AGATGGGCGGATTGCTCAAGGTCAGGAGTTCGAAACCAGCCTGAGCAAGAGCAAGACCTCGTCTCTACTATAAATAGAAAGAAATTAATTGGCCAACTAATGTATATAGAAAAAATTAGCCGGGCATGGTGGCGCATGCCTGTAGTCCCAGCTACTCGGGAGGCTGAGGCAGAAGGATCGCTTGAGCCCAGGAGTTTGAGGTTGCTGTGAGCTAGGCTGACGCCATGGCACTCACTCTAGCCTGGGCAACAAGTGAGACTCTGTCTCAAAAAAAAAAAAAAAAAAAAGGAAAGCAAAGTTGCCCTTTCTTCCACCCTATTGTTCTAATCAGGCCCTCAGTGGATTGGGTGATTGCCCACCCACATTGGGGAGAGCGATCTGCTCAGCTCAATTCACCAATTCAAATGCTATTCTCTTCCAGAATCACCCCCACAGACACACCGAGAAATAATGTTTTGCTAGCTATCTGGACATCCCTTAGCCCAGTCAAGTTGATGCATAAAATTAATCATCATATCCCCTGAGAACCTATTATGTCAACTAATCTGTTTGATTAACAGAGTCATGCTGATGCCCTAGGGTCATAGGGCTGGTAGGAACCTTATCAGTCACCCACTAAGTCACCTGGTAACCAAGGCCCAGAGTGGGAGAGTGATTTGCTCCTGGCCACGCCACAACTTGGAGACAGAGCCAGAATCTAAATTCAAGTTTCCCTATTCCCAGGCCAGGGCTCATTTCACTAGATGTGATTCTCACTCTTGGCTGTACAGGAAGATTGCCAGAAGGCATCATAAAATACTGTTCTTGGGTTGCAGCCCCCAGAGATTCAGATTTAATTTGTCTAGAGCAGGGTCCAGGCACCATTAATTTTTTAAAAGATTTTCTTCAAAGTATGCTATGGTGAGAATATGTCCTTACAAAATTCATATATTGAAACTTAATCACAGATGTGATAATGTTAAGAGGTAAGGCCTTTAAGAAGTGGTTAAGTCGTGAGGACAGAGCCCTATGAATGAGATTTGTGACCTTATAAAAGGGGTGTGAGGGAACTGTTTGCCCCTTCCTCCCAGTAAGGACACAGAAGGGGCTACTATGAGGAACAGGCCCTCACCAACACTGAACCTGCTGGTGCCTTGATCTTGGACTTCCCAGTCTCCAGCACTAAAAGAAATTAATTTCTATTATTTAAAAATTATCCAGTCTAAGGTATTTTGTAATAGCATCCCAAGAAGACTAAGACAAAGCATAATCTATATACAGAAAAGTGAATAAATTATAAATGTACACACTAATGAGTTTTCATAAACATCTATGAACTCGGATCAAGAAACAAAAGATCTCCAGCACTTAAAACTCCCACCAAAGATAATTAGTATCCTGATTTTCAACACATACATTACTTTTGTCTATTTTTATAACTTATATGATATAAATGGAATGTACAAAATGTCCTATTTTACATCTAATCTCTTTTGCTGAAAATTGCATTTGTGAGATTCATCCACACCATTTGGTATGGTCATAGTTTTTTCATTCTATTGCAATATACTACTCCATTGTGTGAATACACCACAATTTGTTTATCTATTCTACTGTTGATGGACATTTGAGTAGTTTCCAGTTTGGGGCTGTTATAAATAATGTATATGCCTGCACATACCTTTTGGTGAACATGTGCATGCATTGCTTTTGAATATATACTTAGGATTGGAGTTTCTAGTCATTGGGGGTGCCTTAGTTTGCTGTAGTAGAAACTGTGAAACAATTGTCTAGAGCTGCAGTCCTCAACCCCCAGACTATGGACTGGGACCAGGCCACAGAGCTGTGCCACCCTATGCCCCTTCAACCCAATCCATGGAAAAATATTCCATGAAACTTGGGAAACAGGGGTGGGGGACAGGGGGTGCTGCATAGCAGGATGTGAGTGGGGAGCAAGTGAGTGAAGCTCTGTCTGTATTTACAACCTCTCCCCATTGCCTGATCTCCACCTCCCGCCCCCATCCACTCCACCCTGTCCATGGAAAAGTTGTCTTTCATGAAACCCGTCCCTGGTGCCAAAAATACTGGGGACTGCTGGTCTAAAGTGATTGTACCAATTTATTCTGCCCTCCCCCCCCCCCAACTAGAATTATGTGAGAGTTCCAGTTACTCCACATCCACGCCAACATTTGGTATCATCATTTTTATTGTTTAGCCATTCTGGTGTGTGTGTGAGGGGGTACTGCTTTGTTTTAAGTTCCCCTGGTGATTGTAATGAACAAGAAAGGATTAGAACCTTGGCTTTATCCCCACACTTGTGATCACCTGGGGCTTGTGAAGATGATGTTCTTGCTTTCATTATCTAACTCAGTGCTTCCTGATGGTCTACAAGCTGACCTAAGTAAGGTATCAGGACACTAAAATAATTTTCTTTAAAAAAAAAGCTTTTCCTAATTTATGCAAAAAAAATTAATTGGCTGATAAGATTTTACTTAATTTTAAGTTCTCTGGTACATTTCTCTTCTATCTTTGGCATCCACTGCTGCATTCACCCACCAGTGAATGCTAGCAGTCAACAAAACAAGTAACCAATGAAACAATAAGATCTTCAAATCCCTCACATGGAATATAAAAATATATAATTTGCTTCTGTAAATGTTTGTGGCAACCACAAGCATTTTCTGCTAAGTATACAAGTTTCTCTGTGCTTGGTGTTCTTCATCCTCTTCTTTGGGATTCTCGCCTCCTCACAGCTTGGAAAAGGCAGCCCTATGCACCATGTGATCCTCCTCCAACTAGAATTGATTGGAGGAACAGTAAACACCTGACCCAAGCTGGGCCTGTCAGATTCTCTCTCTCAGGAATTTAGAATTAAGACTTAAAGGCTTAGTCATTTCTTTGGAGCCATAGAATTGCATGAAATTGGAACTAGAATTGGCAATGAGTTACCTATTAGCATGAGCAGAGTTAGGATTCTATACCTAGAGAGAGCTTGAGAGGAAAATGAAATGTCAGTTGCACAAAATAATTTCAATCTCAAAAATCCAAATTATTTTAATTCTCTGGTTCTGTGACAGGACTAAGGAGAAGGATGTGAACCACTTCTTGTCATTAAACCAGAAAGGCATGGTCCCTGGAATAGAGGAACAGACTCAGAAAAAAAGTCTCTCAGCCTATTAAGGAGAATAATCCTGAAGAGGTCCTCTTGAATAAAAGAGGATGGTATTTAATGGTTCAGTCCCCACTGATACTAATTCAATATGTGTCAAATAGCATTGATTTCATCATTATTTGATATGCTATCCTTGTGGTCTATTTTAATGAATATAAGGTGATTATAGGCTTTCATTGGTTCTTCTACATTGTCTATTTAATATAATTTTTCCATATAGCTCTAAATCCTCCAAATATGAATTCTCCAATCACATGGCTATTTGGTACTAGACCTCTAAAGTTGGCGATGTTACTAAATTAACAGGAAGTTTATGACAAAATTAGCCATGTCCCACTTAATAGCTTATTGGTTTACTTTTGATAAATGTCTGTATCCGTTAAGCTAGGCTAGGTTTTGCTGTGGTAACAAAACTCCAAAATATTACTGGATTAAACAAACAGATGTAATTCTGGTTCACAGTACATGTTTGACGTGGATTGGCAAAAGGGCTCTACTCCTCATAGCAACCCTGGGACTCTAGGGAACAGAAGCTCTGTCTTGATGTGGAGTTCCACAAATACTGCACCCAGGGGAAAAGAATGAGGCTAATCATACACTGACTTTTAAAGCTTTCACTCACATTTCTTTGGCCAAAACCTGTCATAGGGCCATACTCATCAAAGGAATTAGCGAACCAGAATATGTGAGACTAGTCTTAACAACTAACATAGCACATGTGATTTACAATGTTATAATATCATGCCTATAACACTGATAGGTTTTGTGCTGATAAAGTCGCTTCTCATTTGTATGAAGGAATTACATCAAGAATTCCTTCCTCAGGCGCACCAGCACCTGAACTCAATTGAAAACTGCTGTCCTAACCCACAGGAGGGATTCCAGTCAGATGGGAAGCTACTGGGGGCTGGCCAAGGCCCACTCATATCACACCACACCACACAGGCAACTTTGTCCACCAGATCTGAGGCCAGTTCTCTTTCCAGACCATAGTGTAAATGGAATATTGGAAATCTGGGCTCCAGCTTGGGTTTTGGTGGGGTTAGAACTGGATAAACAGAGCAAACCAAATAGATCACTGTCATGAAAACGAGTCCGGCACGGACCTTAGGGTTCCGGGTGACCTATAGTGCCATGGACACCACGGTGTTATATCATGAACTAGCTGTAAGTCTCCAAAAAGTCACCTTCCTTTTCTGAGCTGTAAAATGAAAAGGTTGGAGAAGAACAGCAATTTTTAAGTACAAAGCCCTTTACAGAAAGAAATCAGACTCAGAGTCCCAATGTATAAAGCAGACACAAAGGGATGCCAAAATGGGGGTGAAGGGCCAGCCCCACATCCTCTTATGCCTCACGCTGAACAGCAGTCCCTGAAACACCTTCACATAAAATCTGTAGAGCTCCAGGGAACATGGTTTTAAAATGTCAGGATTATGTAACCTCTAATATCCTGTCCTGTGATTCTGCTGTTCTAGCTTTGATGCCAGCATTTCCTGGTTCCAAATCTGAAAAAACAGTGATTACGCACAATGTTCCCTGCCCGGCCCTGGTCCCTTTACTTCTCCAGGGCGCCACATGCCCCTGCCTGGCCTACCCCCCACGCCTTGGAATCACCACAGCTTCGGGCCCAGAACTGTCAACAACTCTGTCACTTTCTGCCTCTACTTGACAGAGAGCGAGCCATGCCTGTGAGTTACAAATCTCACAGGCCAACGCGCTTCTGCGTCTGTGCCCTGGCTCCGTGTTCGCTTCTCTCCTCATCAAGTGCTGCCTTTCGTCATCCAAGTGTGATAAAGGTTGGCAAGTTGCAGTGGAAGGAGGCTCTCGTCCCATCCGAGAACCCCTTGGTAATTCTCCAGGTAACTAACGAGGACTCTGGGGGACACTGGGAACGCCTTTGGAATGCTAAACAAAGTGGCTTTTATTCTGGGTGCCTTGTGCAGCTTCTTCCACGTAATGAAGGGGCCGATTGTGCTGTCGGAGGGTGTAGCTGAACGTCTCTTGGCCACCATGGCCCCAGGCCTTCCTTTGGCCTGTTGAGTTGGTCTCACGTCAGGGTGTTTCTGGCAGAAGAGGGAAAAGACCTTTATTTTAAGACTCTCATAACAACCAGGAGCACTCTTTTCGGTCATTAGCATTTAAAATGCTGTACTATTGGGCCAGTAAGCCCTGTCTTTATCTAGGTCATTGGCTTTGTCTTTATCTGAGCCATTCTCTTGCTTCTTGCTCCTCAAAGAGTGGTCTGGATCGTAGGAATCACCTGGGAACTTGCTAGAAAGGCAGAACCTCAGGCCCTACCCAAGACACCCCCAGATCCGAATCTGCATTTTATAAGATCCCAGGCCATTGCTCTAGCCTAGACAACTACAGTTTGAGTAACCTGGTCAACGGCTAGAGGACAAGGGTCTGGAAAGACAGAGAACACTGCTCTAGGAATCGGAAGAACTGGATTTTTTGGTTCTAAATTGGCCACTAACTCTCTGAGTGGCCTTGGCTAAGTCACTTCACACTCTGGAATCTTAGATGAGCTGGACTCTGACTCGCCAAGTGCCTGCTCTCAGGACAGAACACAAAAAGGTAGCTCTCTTCTGTATGCTAGTGACATTTGTATTGCCAAACACACAACAAACAATTGTCCCTGAGATCTAATTACTATCAAAAAGAAGAGCTTCAGAGCAGCTCCCATAATTATTTTGCTTTGTTAACTCTCTCCTAGCATTTAATTATTTTATCACATCCAATGTCTCTCTAGGGCCAACTCACTTCATTCAGTTACCTGGAGGTCTCTTTTTAATTTTTTTTTTTTATTTTTATTATTCTGGGCCATTGGTAACCTGAGTTATATTTTGTAACCTCTTTGCATTTGAGTTTTTTCAGCTTCCAAAATGTGAATAATCATATCTGCCTTGCTTTCCGTACAGGGCTGTGCTGGGAAGCCACTGAGATAGCGCCTTAAAAGATATGGGGGCTGCCACACACACTGCGAATTGACAGAGCCTTTCTAAAAGGGCTATTTGGTAATGTAAATCTTCTAAGCCTTTAAAATATGTACACCCTTTCCAGCAAATCATATGCTAGGCATAGGCCCCTGGGGAAAAAATCATGGATGAGTACGAAAGCTATTAATCACCACAGCGTTATTAGCCATTGTGAAAACTTGTAAACAACCTAAATGCCCCAAAACAAGGAACTGAAAAAATAACTTAGTAAATGATGATACCCCATGGCGTAGAATTCCACGCGCCATTAAAAACGATGCTGAAGGCAAGTATTGAAAGACTGGGAAGTGGCGAGTGACTTCTCACTGATTGTGAACATATGCCGAAGACTACGCAATGGAGTGTGATTACATTCCACTCTGAAAACAAAGTGCATAAATATGCGTAGGAAAAAGACCGAAAGCATTCGCCTTGTTAAGGCTGGTACGCTCTTGATTATGGGTGGTTTTATTTTCCTCATTCTATTTATCTATATGTTCCATAGTAAAAAATGTGCATTATAATTTTCAAAAGGGAAAAAGTCTTTTTTAGAAAGAAAGGTATAGCAGTCTTCCTTAAAAATTAGAAGCACTGTTTTTATCATCCATGGAGAAAGCCTCCTTGGGTTGGGGAAAAGGGGACCCAAAGGACAGGATTCAAGGCCAGCCACACTGCTGTCCCCAAAGCCATTACTATAGCAGCCTGTAAATGATACCCCGTACCACCTGCAGGGGGCAACGTGGGGGACCCACTCTCTTCACTCAGGGACTCAGATGAGAGGAGGAACTAGTGAGGAAATCATAAATTTTTCCTGGAGGACAGAAACTGAAATTCATAGCCCTGCAAACAGAACAGTGGCGTAGGTATGGGGCATCCCTCCTGCCAGGGCTTCAAATCCAAAACACAATTACAGAGCCAGGCAGAAGGGTTGCAGACAGCATCTCTCCTGCCTCCTTTGGCCTAAAGCAGTGAGACCAATTTACCTGCCAGATGTTCCTTCCAAAACCCAATGGTAGGTGATGTGTTTTCAAGAGAGAAGAGGAATTTGATTCTATGATTCTTCCTGCTTAGTTCATTGAAAGGAAGGTTTGTCTTCCTTATTCAAAATACTTCCATCTGGAACAAACCAGAACTAACAGCGATGGGAAGCCTGCTTTATCTTTTGCGTTGTAAATAGTAGTAGTGGTGGCAGTAGTAGCAGTGTTAGTGGCAGCAGTAGTAGTAGTGATGGAATAGCGGTGGTAGTAGAAGGGGTAGTTATGGTGGTGGTAGTAGTGATGGTGTTACTGTTTGCAGAGGTAGTAGCAGTAGCAATATTATGCACCTGGTATTTTACTGGTATGATTTTATTTAAGTCTTCATAACAAACCTGGGAGATAGGTAGGAAACCAAAGCTCAGAGTAACTAAGCTCAAAGTCACATAATTAGTAAGGACTGAAAACTGGATTCCAACTAGGTCTAGGAAATCCAAAAAACCTTCTTTCTACTATAACCTACTAGAAAATCAAGGTGCTGCCAGTCCTAGTTATGTTTATCAAAAGCCTGATTATGGGCTCATTCAGCTCTTGTTTTGCATCCATACATGGCCTGAAATTGATTCTAAAATTGCCTACACATTCAACAAACTCAGGATGCTTTTTATATTTTTTTTTAATTTAGTCTCTACTTACGTCAATAGTTAAAGAGACTCTTAAAATATTTTCGCTCCACTTCACTAAAGAACCACTTCACTTTCCAAGAGATATTATTCTTCCGCCTGGATAATGTACCAGCCAATATTCCCTGAATTGGCTGTTGCCAAGTGGGAGGTTCTCCCTGGTCTTCCCCTGCTAGAATACTATTTTCTGTTGAGTAGAATTTGATGTGACTGGTCCACTCTAACCACTCTAACCCTATACAAGAGGGCTTAGATGAGTTAGAAAAGGATGAAGAGAAATTGTGTTTTTCAGCTTTTATAGAATGATTTGATGTCTTATGTTTCCCAGTGATAAAACTGTGACTAAGTAAGCTAAAGGACATTATATAGCAGAAAGCTGCAATGGCGTAGGTATTATAAACTCACGTGCATGTCCAGGGAACCCCACATCTGCTGAATCAAAAATGTGGGTATTCTCTGGGGATCAGGAGAGAGGAATCCCCAAAAGGCTTCTCTTATGGAGAAGTTCCTAGTACCTGAGAAGATACTCATTAATTCATATCCCTCATTCATCAGCTGTCTTCTGTGTTTCAGGCATAGTTCTTGGCTCTGGGAATTCAGTGGAAAGCGTGTTAGACAGAGTCCCTGAACTCACCGAGATTAGAGAGAAGCAGGAAAGGTACCAGGATTGCTAAGCTGCAAGTAACAGAAAGCCCAGCAACCAGTGACTTCTTAAAAAGTAGAGTTACTTTTCACCATAACACTTGATCTTAGCCAAAAGGCTGAGAAGCACTGTTATTTTTCATCATAAGCAAAAGTTGGTGGGTAAACAGTCCATAGCTGCTACAATAGCTCAGTCATAGTTCCTATGTGTTTCCTTCCTTCTACCCCTAAATCTTCAGCATGGTGGATTTTCAATTCTACTTATCACATGTCTCAAGATGGTGACCGCAGCTCTAGACATTATATCTGTATTTAAGGCAAAAAGAGAAGATAGAGGGGTACCAGTCATATATGATTATTTTATTTCAAATGCAAAGGCGTTCCAGGAAGTCCCTTGGCAGACTTGTGCTTAGACCACATTGGCCAGAACATTGACATGAACCACCCCTAGTTATAAGAGAGGCTGAAATGTAAATATCTGGTAAATGCAATTACAGTCATTGACTTTGACCAATCACAATTCAACCACAGAGGCCAGGTCATTGCCATCCTAAACAAAATCAGGATAATCAGAAGAGTTTGGGGTTTAGGGAGAGAGGAGGGATGAAAGGTAGCTGACTAAAACTTTCTGTCGCATTGAGTGAGATTCAAGAGCATGTGGAGACCTTACTGAAGCTTCATGTCTAATGTTGTAAACACTTGGCCATCCCAGCTGCACATCAGGCTGAAGAATTTCCTTGGGATCCCAGGCATGCCTCAATCAAGGGGGAGCATAAAACCAGGGTGAGGCAGCAACAGCTGCCATGGAATCAGTGATGATATTGTTTCATGTTAGTGTTTTTATATGAACAACTGTCTCTATGTGTCCTGGTCTTCTCACCTGTCTGACCACTTGGAATCTAAAGTCTCTTTGCTACTGGTACCATTGCTTATTTCTTGGAATTAGAGACTTAGAAGCTGTTCTTTGGTCTATGCACCTCTAAGAAGCCCCTCTTCCTTTACCTGGGCCCTTGCTCTCTGCAAAGAAAGAAAAAATAAACCTAAATGCCCACCAAACAAAACACGGTTGAAGAAACTATGGTATATCTTTATAATGAAATACCATATGGCACTCAGAGAGAATGATGCAGCTCTATATGCACAAAAAACAAATTGCAAGACAATACATAAAACATGCTACCATGCATGTCTAAAATAACTTTTGTTGTGGTTGTAAAATATGTCCATAAATTCTATCATACAACTCCTTTCAATCCCTGTCTCCTTAGAAACTAGTGATCCACTTCTAATGGATAGAAGGAAGACATAGTATGCAGCTTCAGAGACAAAGTCATAAAAGGTAGTGAGACTTCCTCCTCATTCACTTTCTCTTAGAGTGCACACTCTGGGGGAAGTTGGTTGCCATGGTATAAGGACACATAAGTGGCCAACAGAGATATCCATGTAATAAGAAACTGAAGCCTTCTGCTGACAGATATAAGTCAGTGAGCCATTTTGGAAGAAGATTCCACACATCCCCAGTCAAGCCTTCAGATGACTGCAGCCCTACTAACATCCAACCCTAGAGAGATCCTGAGTTAGAGCCACCCAGCTAAGCTGATTCTAAATCCTTAACCCACAGAAGGTATGAGATCATAAATGTTTGCTCTTATAAGCCATTAAGTTTTGGTGTAATTTGTTTGCAACAATAATAACGAATATGATCTCCTTATTTGCATATGTAATAATAAGACTCAAATCTTTACTCTGTGGTTCATCACTGTTTTTAAAGTATCAACATCTAATC